CTTTCAGGTAATTGTTAGTAACACAGCAGTAAATATTGACATGAAACAGATTATTATTGTAGATCACACAGGGAGAACAAAGGGTAAAATATTTGACTGCAGCAGTGTTTGACTATATTCTGTGCAGTGAGAAAGCCTGAAGTCATTTTCAAGGTCCACCATTTCTTACTTCTTTTCAGTCAGGTCAAATTTTTAAACTTTCTAAATCTTCATTTTCCAGCTAATGAAAAGAAAATAGGATTCTACCAAGTCTCCTATCTACCTACTCCAGGACTTCTGTGAGGATCAAATGAGGTGAGGCACAGGAAGATGCTTCACAGACATTCGGTTAACGTGTACATGTTTCCACCTGGCTATAAAGCAAATCATATTCCTGGGCTGAAGAAACTCCAAGGAGGCTAATTGCTAGGGAAAGGAAGCTGGGTGTTGCTATATGACGTCATTATCCGGGCACCCACAGCCACCATTTTTGGGCTGGGCTGGCTGTGGGCCGCATTTTGCACCATGGGGTCTTGGCAGCATTGACTGCAATTTGGTGGTGGTGGTCGTGGGGCCTGTGTCCCACTTGAGGGAAGCCGAGTGTTGGTTTGTCGGCACCAGATCTGTGGTGCTGGCCAGTGTGTGTCATGGCAGCTCCTGCGTTGAGCGTCTGCCCCCTGGTGGTCAGCGTGCATCATAGTAAATGGTTAGAGGGACACTTAGCATATGAGCCTTTTATATCTATACTAATAAAAGGGTAATATGCTAATTAGGCTGGGAGACCTTTTGGGAGACCTTCTGGACATCCTTCCAGACAAAGCCATGGTGGCGAGGCCAAGGCAGAGGTGGTTAGGGGTGATCAGGCTGGCAGGGGAAGGCAGTTGGGGGCGATCAGACTGGTGCGAGGGGGCATTTGGGGGAGATCAGGCTGGCATGGGGGGCATTTGGGGACAAACAGGCTGGCAGGAGGGGCAGTTGGGGGCAAGCAGGCCAGCAGGGGGGGCAGTTGTGGTTGAGCAGGCTGGCGGGGTCGGGGGGGCTGTTGAGGACGATCAGGCCAGTGGGGGAGGGGCAGTTAGGGGTGATCAGGCCAGCATGCACAGTGGTTAGGGGCGATCAGACAGGCAGGCAGGTGAGTGGTTAGGAGCCAGCAGTCCCGCATTGTAAGATGTCCTAAACTGGCAGTCGGACATCCCCCGAGGGGTCCTAGATTGTAGAGGGTGCAGGCTGGGCTGAGGGACACCCCCGCCTCTTCCCCCTCCCCCCCTGTGCACGAATTTCATGCACTGGGCCACTAGTATATAGATAAGAGATAATCTTTATTCTTGGCACAGAGAAAACACTCAATAGATAATGTTTATTGTTGTGTCTAAGAGTGAGTGTTCTAAATTCTGAAGTCAAACTACCAGGGTTCAAATTTCAGCTACTTGTTAACTCTTCATCTTCTGCAAGTTATTTAACTTCTCTCAGTAGGATATCTTCATATATATGCCACCCGTGCAGTTGTCCAGGGCCTAACACTTGGTTTAATGCCCTGCTGCACCCAGCAGGGAGAGGGGAGAAAGCCAGTGGCAGTAGCAGGCACTTCTTTTGGCCCGGAGGAACAGAGAACTGTAGGGGGAAGTCAAGCAGGGCAATCTGTGAGCTGTGAGCTGCCAGCAGCAGGAGAGGATAGTGTCTGAGTCATGTGCTTGGCAAGCAGCCAGTGGTGAGTGGTGAGTAGACAGCTGCAAGTTTTGTGGAGCCAGAGCGAATGGGGTCTGAGTCCCATGGGAGCAGCGAGAGCAAACAGTGACTGAGTCAGCAGATGCCTGCCCAGGAGAGCATGGGGTGCTGCTGTGCGGCTCCCCACCGCTATGCCTGGCAGTGGTATTTCAGACAAAAAGGGAAATTACAGAGCCTGCTGCTGCTTAGACTCCCAAAACTTGCCTCCTGTTGCCCTTCGAGTTGGCTCCAGGAGCATATTATCTGTAAACCAAGAGCTGTTGTGGTAGAATCACTGTTTCCCTCTGTGACTGAACCATGGAGGTCAGGGGTCACCATTATGATTAGAGCAAAACAAACCCTACCCCTAAGCAATGCCATGGTACTGTCCTACAAAAGCCACAGAGGCTCAAATCTGGGAGGACACAGGTAAAAATCTTGCAATTCAGTGCCATCTACTGGAATAGTAGAAAGACTTCCTTAGAGATAAATGTGAAAACAAAGGAGGGCAGCAAATACCACGAGGAACCACAGTAATGAAGATGACCAGAAAGAAAATGAAAAATCCTCAGAAAGTAGGCTGGAACACATGGAAATGTGTGATATAAATGACAGAGATTTTAGGACTGTGTCCTGAAAATACCCAAAGAGATGTGAGAAAATACTGACAGGCAATTCAGTGCACTCAGAAAACTATTCAATGAACAAAATCAGTATTTCTCTGAGGAAATGGAAACTTTAAAAACAAATCTATCAGAATTCCTGGAAATGAAGCATGCAATTAAGATTAAGAGTGAACTGCTGAGCATAGAAAACAGAACCAACCAGTCAGAGTAAAGAACTAGTGATATTGAAGATAGGAATCAGGAAATGATGCAGAAATACCTTAAACAATAAAGAAATTAAAAAAAAATGATGCAGAGGGAAGAAGAGAGAGACCTGAGAATAAAGAAAAATGAAAGAGCTCTATGAGACCTCTCTGACCGCATCAGACGAAGTCACATTAGAATCATGGACATTGTGGAGGAGGAAGAGAGGGAGCATGGAATAGAGAGTCTCTTAAAACAGTGGATGGGAACTTCTCAAATATATGGAAAGAACTAGATTCTCAAATCCAAGAAGCAAACAGAACATAGTTACTTCAATTCAAAGAGGCCTTCTCCAAGGCCCTTGGTAATGAAGCTGCCAAAAATTAATAACAAAGAAAAAAATTTCAAAGCAGTCAGGGAAAAGAAGGAAGTGACCTACAAAGGAAACCCCATTAGAATTTCATCTGACTTCTCAGCAGAAAATCTACAAGCCAGGAGAGAGTACAATCAAATATTCAAATATCTGAAAGAGAGAAATTATCATCCATAAATAATATATCCAGCAAAATTATCCTTTAAATATGAAGAAGAAATAAGGACCTTCCCAGACACACAGAAACTGAGGGATTTATCACCAAAAAACCTCCATTGCAGGACATACTCAAGGGAGTTATTCTACCTGAAACAAAGAACATAAGGTTACAACACTATGAGTAACATCACCAAAAACTTACAGCGTACACAGGGATAACTTGTGACAATAAAAACATACAAAGGGAAGGGGGAAAGGTCTGAACTGGCAAAGGAAAATGAAGATCAGATGCACTCAAAAGGGAAAAAAACACTATGGTATATATGCCACTTCATTTTTTATAAACCTAATGCTTGCCCATCGCCATGGTGTGGAGCAGGCAGGCCCTGCAGAGAGCAGAGAACCACAGGGAGCAGGCCTAAGCCATCAGTAGGACATCCCCTGAGGGATCCTGGATTGGAGAGGGTGCAGGTCGGGCTGAGGGACATCACCCCCCTACCCCATGCATGAATTTCATGCACCGGGCTTCTAGTGTGGGATATAAAACTGAAACTCATGAACACAAACAGCAGTATGGTGGTTGCCAGAGGGAAGGGAGTAGGGGAAGAAGAGGGTCCTAATATGAGGTGACAGGGGAAGATTTGACTTTGGGTGGTGGGCACATGGTGCAATATACAGATCTTGTAACATAGTAACCCACACCTGAAACCTATATGTTCATGTTGACCACTGTGACCCCAATCAATTAAATAAATAAAATTTTAAAAAAGCACTTCTGCCACTTCCTTGAAACTATTAATAATTTTTGAATAAGAGGCTCTGCATTTTAATTTTCACAGGGCCCTGCACATTATCTAGCTGGTCCTGTCTCTGAGTTTTGTGTCCTCATGTAAAATGGAGGTAATAATATATACCACATTATTATAGAGAACAACATAGACTGATGAAAAGGGACAGACCCAAAGACTGAGAAACAGCAATCAGGCTATCAATCCCCAGAAGGAAAGTAGGGGAGGGCGGGGGTAAGGGGAAGAGATCAACCGAAGGACTTGTATACATGTATATAAGCCAAACCAATGGACATTAACAACAGGGGGATGGGAGCATGAGTGTGCGGGGCGGGGGGGGGGGGGGGTTAATGGGGGGGATGAGGACACATTTGTAATACCTTAACTAATAATAATAATAAAAAATATATATACCACATTATTTTTCAATGGGCTTATTTTTAACTCTTGGTTTAAATGTTTTTATCCTTTTTCATTTGTCTCCTTTTCAAATATATTATCACACTGTGCTTACTTTATTTATTTTTATAGAAATAAAACTTTTTTTATAGGAAGGTGAAATTTTAGTAAGTCCAGAGCATACAGTTTCATGCTTTGCAATGAATAATCAGACACTAAATGTTTCAACATCTTTCACAGACTACTCAGTGTCTTTATATGGGGAAATTGTTGCATTTAAAACTGAAGATATAACAAAATGTGGAACAATTCATAAACTTATATAATAGGAATATAGCTGGCCCTTGAAGATTGTTGCTTTTATGTAGAGCATGGTATGAAAGCAAACTTCAGTACCTTTAAATGCCCTCTTATAACTAATACTTGCAATTTAGTTCCCTGCAATTTGGGCAGAGAGAAATAAAGAACCACGTTGCACTATATTGGGGAAAATAAATTTGAATGAAAGATTGAAAAGGAATAAACCATTTCTGAGTGCTTCAAGTACAATAGCATAGTTGTCTTTATAAACAGAGTACTTGTATTTAATTTTCACCCATCAGCAGGTAGGAAGAGAAATGGAGAAAAGTGAAAATAGCTTTACAGATCAACAAAGATCTATTGTGGTAATAAGAGGTCTGACGTGAGCACAACAAAGATCTATTGTGGTGATAAGAGGTCTGACGTGAGCATATGTTCAAATCTAGCAATCTAAAAATGTTTATATTTAGATTTCTGTCTTTAACACTAGAAAATTAAGTGTTGGGTGTGAAATCTAGTACCATGTGAAGTCCCAGCCAGATTTCTTTGAAAGCTTTGAGGCATCTAAACATGCCAGTAAGTGGTGTGTGTGTGGCCTCATGGGGAGGTGCACGGACCCTCCAGGTTTGCTTCTCTCGGTGGCTCTTTGGAGGCCTGTATGCAAACGGACCAGGAATTTACAATTTGGCAAAACAGGGTCTGTTTAAATTTAGAGAGAAGCTGTATTAAAAAAAAAAAAGTTAAATTAATAAAAAATACCAGTTGAAGCATAGTTTATAAAAAAGTAAAAATACCGAGTTGAGCTAAGAATGAAATTACTAAAATGTATTTTTTTTTTTAAATATATTTTATTGATTCTCTACAGAGAGGAAGGGAGAGAGATAGAGAGTTAGAAACATCGATGAGAGAGAAACATCGATCAGCTGCCTCCTGCACATCCCCCACTGGGGATGTGCCCGCAACCCAGGCACATGCCCCCGACCGGAATCGAACCCGGGACCCCCCAGTCCGCAAGCCGACGCTCTATCCACTGAGCCAAACCGGTTTCGGCTACTAAAATGTATTTAATTAAGAAGCTTTTCTCCTAACTTCATTTCTCCTAACTTTCATTTCTATGAGCAGAAATGAAAGAAGAAAGAACATGGACAGCCACGTAAGTAGTCTCTGCATTAAGATGAGTGAGTGGTGGGATGGTGGGCAGGGAACTGGTGAACCCTTCTCCAATGAAGTGCTTTTAATTGTGCAATTAATAGAATGTTTTTGTTTTGCCCCAAATTTGAGCTTATAATGCTACCCCCCCACTTGAATTTTAACAAATGAGAGGAAAATGAGCAGTTGGCATGGGGTCCAGGAATGAGAGTGTGAGAGCAGCACATGGTTTTAAAGTTCATTGTTTATTGGTTCATGTTTATAAGCAGAAAGCTTCTCTTACAGCCTCAGAGGTCACTGGTGTAATAATGCTCTTTATTGCCTTCATTAGCATAATTATTATAGTTACGCTTTGCCACTTAGTCTGACTGTGCCACTTGGAAAAATTACTTCTGAAAATAGTTTTTCTTCAGTCCTTACCCCACCTCTTGCCAGAGTGGCATTAGGGAATTAGTGGTATTGAGTCATGAAGGGAATCAGAAGGATGCAGAAGTGGGCACAGGCCACACGCAGTGCCTGACAGGAAAGGGAGTTAGTGAAGAGTAAGACAATATCAATGGTTTCACTTCCTGCAGTGGGAAAGTGATTGGATTTCAATTTGGAGACTTTAGGGTTGAATCTGGGATTGTTCATTCAAGCTGCTTGTGGAATGTGAGTTGGTCAAAGTGTTAGGAAGAAGTCCAGCTTGGTTCCACAGCATATGTGGAGACTGGTAGCAAAGTCTCTAGATCAATGATTTTCAACCTTTTCCATCTCATGGTACACATAACTAATTACTAAAATGTGACACACCAAAAAATAAATATCTTGTTAATCTGGTTTAAAAATAGGTATAATTTTGATTAATTCATATCAGATATCTATTGTTGTGTTGGTTGTTGTCATGTTTTTTTTACTTGACAGTCTAAGGGAAAAGCAGTCAGTGCCCTGACTAAGTAGTATTGCATGTTTTAAAAATTGTTGAGGCACACCAGTGTGTCTGCCATGACACACTGGTTAACATTGTTGGTCTAGATTTTAGATTTTGCAACTTTTGTATTTGTTATTAAGTTCAAGAGAGGGATGAAGGGGCTGAGGGTGGGAGTCAGAGGCCTTGTAAATACAACTTTGTTCCTAAAAAAAGAATGTTACAAACCTTATAATTGGCAACATTTTGAGAAAATCATAAACTTGGGGATGAAACCTAGAAATGAAATTTCTCCTATGGTATGGGACCTGGAAAGTTTTTAGGAGGGATTTTATAATGTTTATGTTAATTGAATGTTGTTGGATTAGAATGTAACTTAGGCTGTAATTAGGCAAATAGGCTGCTGCCATGCTTATTGCAGGCATAGCTCACTTCAGGCATTTGTTAAATTCTAGATAGAATTTTTCCTAACTGGTTTTGCCATTGAGTGAGCAGAGATGTCTTATACTCAATGGTGTCATCCAGATACAAGCTAAGACCTACTGTCATAGTCGGCTAATTTATAGAATGTTATCACTACAAGGACCATCTCCCTGACACAGAGAGTTAGGTGTGCGAAAGACAATTAATGGCACTTGTAATCCAGGTGAAAACCTTTCAACCAATATTTTCCTCTGTTGTTCACTGATTGACTCTCACTAATATCCAGCCTTCTCTTACCCTGTCCTATCCTTGATAGACTGGTAGGAGGAGGATGCAGGGCATTCCAAGCAGATAAAAAGCACCAGCAAAGGCACCTAGGCACGGAGGTGTGGGCACGGCAGAGCTGCTCAGAGTGTTTGGAGTTGTGATGTGATGTTTTAGTGGTGGCTAGCAGGTGGGAGGTTAGGTTAAAAAGAGAACATTGTAAGATGGAACCGAAAGATAGATCGAGGTCAAATTATAAAGACCATTAAAGGTCAGTGACCTGTGATTTCTAAAAGTGAGTCTGGTGGCAGAGTGGAAGCTGCGTTAGACTGCAGAAAGGTCAGACAACCAACTATATTGTTGCCTAATGAAAGAGGATGAGGCGGACTCTGCTTGTGTCAGTCAGTAGGAAGGGAGAAAGGGACGAGAAAGTTACTTCCTGGATAGAGTTGAAAGGACTTGAGGCAAGATGGATGAGACTGTAGAAGGAAAAGGAGTCAAATGTGACCCAATTTAGGTGGCTGGGGAGATGACCTTGTGGTTCCTCACGAAAAGGGGAACTTGGGAGCAGGGCTGTGCTGGGTCGGCCATAGGGGGAGGCTCGGGATGAGTGTATCAGTTTTTCAGGGCTGAGATAATATTACTAACTGGGTGGCTTAACCAACAGAAACTGATATCTCTGAGTTCTGGAGGCTAGAAGTCTCCAATGAAGGTGTCACAGGTTGTTTCCTTCTGAAGGTTCTAAGCCTGGCACAGGCCTCTTGCCTAACTTTGGAAAGTTCCTTGGCTTGCCCAGTCTGCGTGGCTCAGTGGTTGAGCATTGACCTATGAACCAGGAGGTCATCGTTCGATTCCCATGACTGGGTTGCAGGCTTGATCCGCAGTAGGGGGCGTGCAGGAGGCAGCCAATTCTCATTGATGTTTCTATCTCTCTCCCTCTCCCTTACTCTCTGAAATCAATAAAATATATTAAAAGAAAGTTCCTTGGCTTGTGGCAGTATAACTTTAATCTTCTCATGTGTGCATGTCTGTGTCCAAATTTCCCCTTTTTATAAAAACACCGGTCCTACTGGATTATGGGCCAACTCCACTCCAGTGTGATCTCATCTCAATTATGTGTATCTGCAATGACCCTATTTTCAAATAGCATCACATTTTGAGGTACCGCAGGTTAGGGCTTCAACATAGGAATTTTTAGGGGGATACACTTCAACTCGCAACAGCGGGGTAGGGACTCAACGATGAGCTTTGGATGTGCTAAATTTTAGATTGTGGGGGTACTGATGTCAGCAGGCTGATAGAAGTGGAGATATGAATAGACATAGATTTGGTCATCATCTACATATAGGGAACACTCATGCTCTGAAGAATTTTCCATGGAGTATTTTATAGCTGCGGAAGTGAAAGCATTTGTCTGGGGAGGAAGAGCAAGAGGAAGAACATAAATTCATTGAGTGCCTCTTTATGAGTGAGGCTTTTTGCCCAGTGCATAGAGGTCCAATCTCACTTAATCCTCACATGGACCCAGTGAGGGAAGTTTTGAGTGAAACCTGAAGCCCACGGCCCCACAGCTGGAGGATGGTTAAATTGAAATTTGCACCCATGTTTATTTGATTTCACTAAAAGATGCTGCCTCCTCCTGGGGAAAAGAGTATAGGACCAGAAAAGGGTGGGAGAATACTGCAGAAGAATTTAAGAGGAAAGGTTAAAGGGTGACAGTGGGAGCTGCGAAGGGGGAAAGAGAAACCAGAACTGGTAAAGAAAGCCACTGGAAATCCAAAACAGATTTTCAAGGAGCGGGGGGAGAGCCGCAGTATGAACTATTTTAGAGAGGCTAAGGACCTAGAAGTGTCTCTTTGGTTTAGTGCTCTCTCTGCTCTTTGAACGTCCATTTGATTAAGAAGTGAAATTATAATAAATTTTTGTCCACAGTGATTACAGGCAACAGATTCACTATAAAATAAAAAAGGGAATTACTGTCAATTTTATTCCAAGTTCACCAGTCAATGTGCTGTTGGGGGAGAAACACCAATTCTGATAAATTGCTCCATCCATGTGTGTACATTTACCTAGTGATTGATATGGAGGCAAGTTTTAGTCTTGAATTCTGGCATCAGAACCTGGCATCAAGGTTGGGGTGCACACTTTTCCTGTGTACATGTATGTGTTGCTGTTTTGGTTGCTTAAAAAATGCTTTAATTCGCATAAGCACAGTATACAAGCAAGTGAAGAAATCTAATGAGGACATTTTAAAGGCTACGTTAAGGCATATTAGGACATGTGAGGTTATTAGCTGATAAATAAGCATTTATTGACTTGTTGCCTGTATCTACTTTATATTCGCTTCAAAGAAGAAAATTTTCATTGAAAATGAAGCAGTTAAAATGTCAGGGTGCCCATTCTCTTTTTTCAGCCTCTCTTTTTACATTACAAAATAAGTGGATTGAGTGAAGCATAAACTCCTGCAAATCAAGGCTTTTCTTGGCATTCCTTGGAGAAACCAAATCCAAGGCCAGCGGTGAAAGGTGATTGTACTATATCCACTACACAGACTATTTCTTCTAATTATCAGCATGAATGTAATTACTTACAAGCATCTCAGGTTCCTGTGATCATGTCCCTTAGAGCATTTCATCTTTAATGATTTTCCTTGATAAAAAGCCAGTTGGAAGCATTTGTTGCATAACATTGCTCAACCAGAAAGAAAAATACGTACTTCTTGGAAGAAAGATCTGTATGCTTTCTTCTCAATAGTACTTATATTCTGCCAGAATTTGATTAGGAGCTATCTTGGCACAAAGATCGCTAATGATAGAGTCAAATAACTACATAGATTAAACAGTTTCTTGGAAAAATAAAATGTAGTGTGACATTCCTTTTCCAAGAATATTGAAGTTCAGAACTGTATCCACTTCAGATGAATTGTTACCGTAAATCCTCTAACTTCTGAGGACAGAGTCTGGGAAGGAATGGGTTCCTGAGGGAGTCTGTGGATTCTTAGGTGAGATAGTTTTAAAGGGAGAAATTTCTGGGCTGAGAGTGAGACTAAATAGATTAGGATTTTTAAAGCTATAAGAAACATTAGCGTTTATTCCCTCTCCTGCTCCTTCATAGTCTGTTACTGCAATGGTCACAACTAGTTGCTGGGCCTCAAATTCCTTTCCAGCATTATTCCCATTCTCACTTCTTTCTATCGGACAAAAAACAAAACAAACAAACCAACCCAAGAAAATAAAACCAACACACACACACACACACACACACACCACGACTTCATTTATTTGGCATTATTAAGAAATATGTTTTAAATGTTTTATATGAAAGCTTTCTAGATAACTAAAATTTACTCCTTAAGCCTCACTTAAAAGATTTTCACAGAAGTGGTTATTTTAAAGAGTATGCTGAGCATA